CAATGGACAATCAAACTCTCAATACATATCCTAGCTGATCACATCCCCGGCGTAGAGAACTAGTATAGTAATCTGGGTAGGTATTGTCCAGTAGACTCAACCCACATGTAATTTGGGGGAGGATTTAAAGCTCTTTTCCCCCATCTTGTTCACAACTGAGTAAAAATATTACATATCATACAGAAAGGCAGTGAGAGAGATTGACATGGTTTACTTGTAACACATTTCTAGTTGAAAGTTAAACCCATGGCCTCAAGAGCACCACACAAGTTGTTACTTTATATTTTATTGTTTCATTGAATAATTTTATTTTAAGGTACATGAGCGTGACATGTTCAATCCATTCTACTGCTGGCATGAGAAGCTCCTACCGTTGATGCCATTCAATGACTACATGTTTGAGAATGGATTTCTGAGAAATGATACAGTCACTTCACCATTGGAATACACCAAGGTATATGCTGTTGATCATGAAAAATCATAGTGAACACTTGCATTCCAAATTGCATCATATTCCAACCATTATCTTGAAACCTGTATTTGAAAAACTAATGCATCAACAGAATGCTGTATGCATAGATTTAATTTATTGAATTGATACAGAAATGAGAGTAATTCCTTGAAACCTGAGTCTTAGTCCATTGCAGCACAGAATATTATACCGAGTCCAATACAGGAGGATGTGCACTATTTTATCTGTGTCAATGGTTGCATGAGTCTAGCTTGCTCAATAGCAAAGTCCTTTCTGCTTAAAAACATTTCCTTCTAAGAGTATGGTTTCTTCAAGCTCAGTAGAAATTTTGTACAGTATCAACCACTGAAACAAATGAAAGTGCTGAAACAGCTGATTTTTGTGTGCCAGTTTGCTGCTCCTATTAAAAATTACTGTGCTAGCTTCCACAGAGGAATAAATATGTGCTTGGCCAGTCTTAGAAGTAATAATTAAGACCAGCTCAAGAGAATGGATAAAGAGAATGACCAAACACATATTTGTTCCGTTCATAAATAGCATTTTTAGCCAGAGTCAAAAGAAATGAATATATCATAGATTTTCAGCAATTTTGTTCTAGATTTTTAGTTTCATTTTCCTGAACATCCCGTCCATTATATGGAATTTTTGCTTGTGCAAATTGTCGAATTGGCGTTGTGAGCCGCACGTGCATAGACTTACGACCAGTTAGAATTGATTAAAATTTAGTGGGGTCATTCCATGAGGTTGGGGCACAATTTGTGACGGTGTCCTTGTTACATCAGTAACATTTACCACCTGTCATGACTTGTAGAGTAGGTCAATTACTCTGTAAAAATAACACACACCTCTGTATTCAGCCTTGCAAGATGTATAACAATGTCAATTTGGAATCCACATGCAGGGAAATAGCTGTTCATTTTTACAGAGCCCGTGTAACAGTTGACACAGTCACAAATTGTGCCCCAACCTCATGGAATGACCCAGTGGGCATTATCAAATTTTAATACTCAGTCAAGTTGCACGTTGTTGAATAGGGAGACTACATTGAGGTATTTATGAATGTTTGTTAAAACAATAAGCAATGAAATGAGTTTACTCAGCTAATACAACTGATTTAATGTGCAGAAGATGAATACATGCATTTGTATAGACTGGTCATGATCATCTGGGCCATCAAAAACAAGACTAAGACATCAGCCTATTTGTGTTAGCCAACATGAACAACTTACATGTCCACCAATGTGCCATTTTATGTTTAATTATCCAAAGTAGACAAATCATGCATCCATTCTGATTATTTTTATTCTAAATTTGTAATCCCTTTTTGGTTGCAGACATATGAAAGCAATGATGGAATTGTTGCCACTACCTTGCCAGCTGAAATCTTCTTAGACCGTTTGGAATCATTCAACTTCAAAATTACCATCACAGCAGATGGGGATTACCTTAGTGGTATGGAACTTATGGAATGAACTCTACATGTGTGTTTTTGAAAAAAAAATAGCAAATGTTCTAACCATAAAAAAAATGCAAACACTTGTTCTTTTATCAGTAAATATTTGAATAATAATTTAATGAGTGACAACATGTAAACTTTTAAAATAAATCACACAAGACTCTCACTTATTTTTTTTTGATCTCAGTTTTCTAAAACTTTGGCTATTGGTCAAAATATATCCCCAGGAACCATGGTTTGTTTCGCCCAGTCAAAGAACATTTGGTGACATTTGCACATTTTTTGGATGAGATGTAAGAGGGTCACTCAGAGAATAATTTTGTTGCTTATTATGTTGTTTTTTTACTCTTCTGGTTCTGGAATGGCTTTGAGCATTTTGAAGAGGTTCAGTCTTATATTAAAAAAAAGTTGTGGATGTAGGAAGACAGCACCAAATTCAGCCTTATCATTCAGAAGGCTCCCAAAAGGTCACATCAAGAAATTTAAAATTTTTTGCCCCCCCCCAAGGTTCTCTGTCAGCCCTAGACAGCACCTGTGATCCATAGACACATCCACTTTTCTATTAGAGCATGCTCTAGGAGTAACAGATTTTTCAGGTGCTTCAAGTTTTAATGACTCAGATTGCTCCTGTCATATACATTTACAAGGGGCCAGTGATCCTCAATTTACTGTTCTCCGAGCCTGCTTTGTTCCTGGGAGTCTGGTTCTCAAAGAAAAAACCACCGTAGAGAAACAAACCCCAAGATTCCCTTGATCACCCCTTTTCACTCACATCTTCCCTCCCTGTGAAATAACCAATGACAACCATTATACAAGTCCTTTACACTTGAGATCGCTTGCAGTGTTGTCCCAGGCAGCCTGCTTTTGGCTTGCAGCTAAAGTGGGCACCCCCAACCTAAAGTCCAACCCAGCTTGGCACCTTCAAGTGTGACTCCTACTTATCCATGCCTCACGTCCTTCCCTCTGTTCCCTCCCCTGCTTTAAGTTTTCTCATTATACCCTTCCCCTTACACTCTGCAGTATTTCCATGCTTAGTTGATTCATTGCTTGCTTGTTTATCTTTGTCCACTTGTCATTTTACCTCCAAGAAAGATTCAACGCTGCAACTATTTTACAAAAGCTATTTCAACAGTTAAATAAAAAATAGTAGTAGTCCTAAGACATATTTATATCGTACATACAAACTTTCCTACATCAGGTTTCTAGAAGAGAACCACTCAAAGAGGTGAATAAGTGATTTACCCTGCTTGGTTCACCCAATGGTTATTCATGAATCTCTTAGAAGGGCGAGCATGAGTGAATTACCAAAATTTCATGATCTAATACATTAAATGATATGAATAGTAAAGTTACATGTATCTTCTGATATAACGCCCACAAATGGATTTAGTTGAGGACCAAGAACATGTTTAATTAATTCCTAGTCAAGTTGCACTGGTGTCGTTTAGCATCTGTGATATGATACAATTGCATTTTTAGGAGGAGTTTTACTGAATGAATTATGGGTTACTGTGGAAGTGTCTGATGAGAATCTGCTGGATGTCATCTCAGAAAGGAAGGAAACTTACATCAACAGCTCTATCAAATATGAGGTAACCATGTATTCCAATCTTTCAATTTACACAGCTGCAAATTTTCACTGCCAAATTTTTCACAAAGTTATTGACACTGCACTCTTTTTCCATAATTCTAACCATCAAACTCGTTGAATGGATCAGAATTTCATATTTCAGTTGTTCTGAGAACCAGCTCACAAAGACCATATTAGGCGGGTTTTACAGCTCCTGTACAATCTCTGTGAGGACAGCATGGCCAGTATGCTTGTGTTTAATTTATTATACTGTATCCAAAATCATATGAGTTGCAAAAGGAGTTTAAACTCTTTGTTGCAATGAAGCAAAACTTCATTGTGTCTTAACGTAGGTTTTCCCTTCATTCTTGCATTGAAGAATTGCTTGTGTCTTCAATTGCACCCTCAGTCTTGCAACCTCAGAAGGTTTATTCTATTATATCTTAGGTCGTGTTAAATAGGGAAATAACTGGAACCAACTCACCAAATGTGAACTTGTCAAACCTGTGCGTAGTAGGCTGCCATCTTGGAACCCTTCCTTTATGGCCCTATTACATGTAGTTTATGTCATACACAGAACATTCATCTCCCCCTTTTCTGGAACAAACATAAATTGGTTATAATAACACATTTACATACAATACACCGGATTGAATCTGAGAATTTAGCGTCATTAGAGTCCAGAAATTGTTGAGGGTCCAAAATTGGCTTCTAAATTAAGTCCAATGTCCTTTTTTTCATACAGATTTCTAGAGTTCTGGAAATAAAGCAGACTGAGTGTGCAATTCTGAGACCAGTGTGAGATTGATTGGTTTTAGCTGAGTATGAGTGATTCAGTGAGGATTCAGAGTTCTAATACATGGCACAATCCTGCCTGGTTTCCTTATTCGCTGAGACTGTCTTACTCCATATTGCTGACCATTTGCGTTATGTTAGACTGGGTCTTCCTGTTGGATCTTGAAGTCGAGATTAGCTTGTGGTTGTGGCATCCGGACAATATGCTGCTTATTCTGATGATACTCTGTGCCAATCACTCTCATAATGCAGGAACAGGGTGTGTCAGCTGTACAGACAACCTCTCCAACTGGACCAAGTTTTCCCTTAATCGGATCTTCACCCAGGCACCAATTATATAGGCCATGGGATAAACATAAAATAAGCATTTATATTTTCAGTTCTGTGCTCCCCCTGGAGAAGCTACCTGATAGTATTTCATAACTACAGTTCTGATCTTACCAAACAAGAATATCAACTATTACCAGAGGTAAAAGTTACACATTAATGAATATTAATTGTTGGTTTTGGTAGAGTGGCTGCCAGTGCCTATTTTTCACTCCTTTTTGCAAAGAATTTCTGCTGAAGGAAACTGTGGAAATTATTGGTGTACCAATTACAAATACCCACTTTTGTGATCATCGTGGTATATCTTTCTGAAGTTGATCTGCAGCATTTATGCCATATTTTGGAAGTATATGACTTTCTGCACTCTATCTACAGTTCTACTGAGTGCAGTATGGCTGAATTTGAATCAGAATTAGAACCAGTGATGCTCACCGGTCAATTGAAGTGAACAGTGACTTTGATTACCCCTTTGACAACTTCATTGATAAAACCTAATTCTGATAGTGGGGCTCTGCACAAGATCTAAACCTGGTTGTGGTTTTCTACCATGTCCGTATGCTGCTGGCCTTTGGTCACCACAAGAGTGATTGTCATATCTACAATGCTGAACCACAACCAACTAAGACGTCACTACCACCTAAGATATGTGGACTCTGGCATGGCCGTTATTTGGGTCTTAAGATTCTTTACTACAAGAATTCAACTGCATCTTTCCAGCTTGAGCTTCTCTGTGCAGGTGATGTTTGCCCCAACCCAGACCCAACTGGCAGTACCATCTCAACCTCACAATATCACAAACATGGCAATCGTGATATGTTCCCCACCATGACCCCAGCAAGTTGTACTGTACATGGGATGAATAACTGGATCTTAAACCACGCCATCTTCCCCTACCCCCATGAGTATGGTCTACCTTGAAGTCTTTTCATATCAATTCCTTAAATTACTTATCATGTATGCAGATCACTGGAGTAATTTGACAGCAACGTAGATGTGTGCATGCAGCAAACATTCACCGATGTGGTTATCCTAATGGACTACGTGACACACCTACCATAATCATTCTAAGTGATCAATAATGATCGGCCAAAACTAAAGTTGGAGGAATAGTCCAAAGCTGTAGAAAATAGCTATTTTTATGGAAATGTGTAAGATCCTTCGGATAATTAAGGAAGACTGGTACCAAGCCAGTGGTGTACAGCCTAAAGTCAGATGGCCTAATCAAGAGATTTAATCGCACCCTGATGATGGGTGTCAATGATGCTGGATACGCATTGTGGACAGAGGGACTGGGATGAACAATTGCCATTTGCGACATTCACCTATAGGTCAGTCTCACAGGAGTCCATGAGAGAGACACCACATATGCTCATGCTTGGGCGGGAGGTTGCATTGCCGATAGACTTGACGATGCAAACACTAGCTCTAACAGGAAATGGACCAGTCACAGATTATGGAGAGGAAATAGACATTGCCTACAGGTGGCACATGATTTAGCCAGGCAATAAAAGCACAGGTATGGTAGAGGAGTGAAGAGGGCAAGCTACCAAGAAAGACAATTTGTATGGCTGTATGACCCCTCGAGGAAAAAGGCTGCATCACTGAAGTTGGTGAGCTGATGGAAGGGCCCTTACCTAGTTATCATGAAACTTTTAGATGTGACATTTACGATACACGCAAAACCACGAGGAGAGATGAAAGTAGTTCATTCAGACAGACTAAAGGAGTATGAGAGACAGTCTTTAAAGGCATGGAAGGTGACATTGCCACGGTCAGTACCCTCATGTGGGATTTGTTTCAAGCACCAGCAAGCTCAGCCTGAGCAAGAGATGCTGTCTTCCAATATATACTGCAGAGCCTGAACAAGATGTGATAACCTATCCTGAGATTGACGCCTCACCTGCAGATAGTGGAGGCATGTTAGACGAGGAGCTACACTAGCCCCCACCACAGGACACAGAAGCTGCAGAGCTCAATAAAGATATTGTAACACTCCGACAGTCTATGGGTTCCACCAAGGGACAAGAGAGCACACTAGGCTCAGGACTTCTGTTTTCAAGTGCAAAACCCGTTTATTTCGGCAACACAGTCAAAACTCGCCTGTCCGAAAATTCACAACAAAACTGAACTCTCGAGACCGCCCAAAAAAAGGCCTCCTAGCACTGGCGTGGTGGGGTCTCCCGGTTGGTCCAGCAAGGGCGCTAGCTGCACCACCGTGGAGTCAGACTGGTACCCCCACCCGACCGGCCGGCCCCCAGCGCCACAATATTATCTGGGAGAACCATAAAAATTATGAGCCAGTGGGGAGGAATCCACCAAGGCAGAGGCGACTGCAGGCTCACTTTAGATAAACCTCCATGAGAGTAGTATGTGTCGTCCATGTGTCCTCAATTTACCAGAGAGTTGATAAAATGTTTGTTCCTTTGTTTTGAAGGATAAGTCGTTGCACCAGGAATTTGAGTGCAAACAGTGTAACCGCACTTAAAAGCAACGGCTGAGCCTTGCCTGTCGTGTCCGCAAAGAACACGCAGAGAAATCTCTCTTTGCATGGTGCTGCCAATGCCCCTTCAGATCCAACAGGAAGGACAACCTCAGATGGCATTACAGCAAAGAGCCCCCAGACAGCATGGTTGACCTAAAGGAGATACCGCTGGAAACTGAGGCGGAGAGGAAGCCCCAACCGAGGACGATAATGCGACTCAAGCTTGCCTGGAAGGATCTTGGTGATTGTGAGTCCTGGGATACGGCAGAGAACATGCTTGAGAGGGAGCACAGGGAACGTTCCCACTTGAGTGGCAGTGATGCTGGCCAGAGGATCCAATCTACCCAGCAAGAGGAGGCAAGGAAGCCACCAGCCAGAAATAAGGGAAGGGCTGAATGTCGAGAGGACCCGCTGGCAACCGTTTCATCTGCCATCCGGGCAGAGAGGGGTGCTTCTCAATTTATCTAGCTTTGCCCCAGCGCAGATATCCCTATCCCCGATGTCTGTCTTTGAGGAGGCCACGGAGGCACCACAGCCATTGATTTGCAGAGGCAAGCCATGTGGGATGTTGGAAATGATGATGCCTCAAGCTGAAGTCAGTGAATAGGAAGCTGGAGCATCCTCATAGGAAGCAGCAAATTCTTTGTCAAATGTGGTGCCTGCCCAGCCCATTCAACTTGAGAGAAAAGGTGAAGAAGGTCACAGAGAAGTGCCCAAACACCTTTATAGTATTTATATCTTGGCTCTGAGACTTATGTCCATATGGACTTTGTAATGTAGTTCAAATTTTATCCACAAAGTAATGATATAGTTAAGATTTACACTAGTTGCATCTTATGCACTAATTTGTGTGCAGTTGTAAATACGTGTATAATTGTGCATATGAACTTCCCAGTTGGACTTCTTTCCTTCTTTGTCAGTGCACATTTCTAAACTAGTTTGTGGTATTAGAAATAAGATCCCTGAGGATTTGAATCAAATGAGTCTGGTTTTTCTTGTAAATCATATTACCAGGTACTTATTGCAGAGAAGGGAAGCCTGCGGACCCGATTGGCTTCAGGTGTTGGTCTCCATTCTGCCTCAGTCTTGATTCAAGTAGGGAGCTCACCATTTGAGTGCTTCAGTTTTGATAGCTTCTCAAGGATGCAGTTACAGGTACTTGCAATTTGGTTGACTTTTTCAGATTTTTATTTTGAGGGTATACAATACTGTCAATACAGTAAAGCCCCAGCTAGCATTGATACGTTAGACAAACATCGGAAATCAGCGTATTTCTGGTGTTGCTCTGACATTGGTAAATGGTCACAATTTGGACGTTCATCTGCCATTGTTCATTCGACGTTGGCAATTGGTTTGTTTAATTGATGCTGAGTTTTTGACGTTATGCCGATGTTAGCATCGGTATACACTTTGACATCGGCATGCCAATTCTGTGCCAACGTTGGCTATTGGTTTGTATGTTTGATGTTGAGTTGCCAATATTACACCGAAGTTAGTATCCAGTATGCACATTGACATCGGCATGCCAACCATATGTTCATTATTTCATCAGGGTACTCAATTTTTTTCATTGCAGAAAAAAGTCTACAGCTGGGGATTTTCATATAGATTTTGATTTGATTTACATTACTCTACATTATTATTTCTGGACATTTTAATTAGCTTGCATTCTTGTGAAATAGTTTGGTATTTTGTAAGATCACAATACCAGGAAACTTGTTGATGTGAGTCTCCTTCAAAAATTAGAGGGATTATGATAAAGTTTGCATGATGAAGTTATGTCATAAACTTCCCAGAGTAGTTTGATCTCCAGTGGTCAACTGTTGCACGTACGTGAACAGTGACATTGTGGTTCAGCATTGTAGATATGACATTTCCTCCTTTTCTATTCAGGCTGTTTTATGTTAATGTCATTAGCTCAAATTTTTGTATTTCCAGGGCACCAGTAGCTTGAGTGTTCAAGTTGGTTGTCCGCCCAGCAAACATCTTGTGTTTGATATCCCTGCTACTTTACATCAAGCAGAGATAAGGTATGGTGAGATATACGACTGCCCAATTCCAGATCCTGAATATCCATGCTTTTATTACAAACATGGTAAGTAAATTGAGCTGACCTCAGTTGTACTATTTAAGAATTTTTTTGTGTTAATCATTTCAAAAGTGATGAATTTTTGACAAAATTGACATAAATTGCACTTTGGTGACTTGTTTCTTTTCTTTTCGAATGAGTCTTCAGCGTTCAACTCACCCAAAAGGCCACTTCAGATACATATTTCCATAGAGGGCACAGTACATCTGCTAAGAGTTCCCACAATAGGCTACCAACTGTGCCCTGCGGTATGCCTGCCGTCTCATCTTTTCTCTTGGCATCAGATAGCAATAGATCATAAAATCTCCAGTGTCGTTTCTGTCAGGTTTATTGTCACCATCTTCTTTCAGCTTGTGTTTATTTTATCAATGTAATAAATAGCAAGAGTTTGCTTTTTTCTTAGTTGCCTTGGTCTCTGATCCCCTAAGGATTGATATTGGGTATTAGTTCCCTTGCACATTTGGTTAGGGGAAGATTTGTAAAGGGGAGATCCACTTGTGCCATAGTGGGCCCCACAGCAGACGTGGGACCCCTGGCCCTGTAGGTGTGCAAGGTCAGGGGGCATTACCATCCCACAGGTCTAACCTCGAACATGGATCTGCTGGGAGCACCCCTACCAGTTGGCAGAAGACACGCTTTTGCCTAGGATTCATGGTGGCAACCCATAGGCTGGCAGCTGGGATACTCTAAGCCTGCCCCACCATCTACTGTTTGTGGGGAACATCAGCTGATAGAAAAACTTGCCAGTAACGGGCCACCAACATCAAAACAAAGGGCAAGTTTTGCCTTTCAAAGTCTCAGGATGAGCCCTGGTTTCGAGTGCCATATCCAAGGCCCCTGACATGCAGTTTGACCAGTTGACTGGAAACTGTCCACAAGTCACCAATTGGAAAAGACCTGTCCTGAGGTTATTCCCTAACTTTTACCATCAACTTCGGAATTTCTTCATTGTTTTGGAATTCCATGGCTCTGCCCTTATCCAAACCTGCTTTGGAAGAACAGAGCAGTCACCAGGCTGAGATACGAAAGTCTCACAATAAGAAAAGTTGCAATTTGTAGGTATGTGAGTTATCCTCAAACTGATCCTTGATCCAGGCAGATGCTCAGGATCAATGTCTCCAGCTGATTCTTTCCCAGGCTTTTTTGGTGTTCTCAGTCTTCATCTATGCCATATCAGGGGCAAGTTTCCCCAAGAAGCAACCTGCCTCATTTGCAGGACATTTTGCCCCCAACTTCGGTCATCACACCCCTTAGATGGGCGTGCTTTGGGCCTATGCCAACTCACTCCCTCATGCGTTGCCCCAGTGTTCCATGTCGCATCAGTGCTCCACAGGCACATCGCAGCCCTGACATGGCAAAACTCGCCCCCCCCATCGTTGCCCCATCAACCGTACATGGCCCTGAGTAGATTTGTCCAGACCAACAGCACATCCCTCAAGTCTTGAGTGACCCTCCTGATTCTATTGGTTTCTATTCATCCATCTACACATTCTCCTTTACTTCTGATATCTTCATTCTGGACATTCAATCCGTGCTCTGTGCTGGAAGATAATAGAAATGGTGCCCAGTTCATATCAAGCCCTGAACTGATACCTCAACAGGACAGCACTAATCAGAGAAAATGCAATGAGTTCCTTCATTGTATCATTTCCCTAATTGTCCTGCTTCATAAAAAACAATCTCGTGCTGGATTGTGACAGTCATCCAGTCCTCAGCTTAGAACTTGTCGACTGCATTACAATGGGACTCTAGATTTACAGCACACAATGTTAGAGCAGCAGCAACCTCGTGGGAGTCGGAGCGGCTGGCTCTGCAGTGGTGTGGGCCTCATCTGCATTGTCATGGAGATCTGGCAGGTTGGATGAGTTAGGTACGTTGCTATCAGAGGGAAAGGGGACCTTGAAACATTCTGAGCGCTTGATGTGGTATGAAGTGCTTCTTAGCTGATTGCCAATGAATTTACATACATTGTACTATAACCCATCAACAGCTATCACAACGTAGTGGCTCTGTACTCTGGTTTTGTTGCAGTCATGTACACCAAGTCCCTAATGGCAACAACTGTGTTGGGTGCCATTCTGCCCAATGGTGCCTTAGTTTTGGTACTGTGAGAGTGATTGGCGGGGCGGGAGTCATGTTGGTAGAGAATCAACTGCCAGTCAGTAATAGTAGAGATTTGGCCGTTGGTGAACTGGTCACGTTGATACCGCATCCACGGGAACATATGCCTTACCCTCAACTGATACATTGCATTACTCCCAAGATAACTTGGTTTCAGTGGAGCAGCACCCCCACCATTATTTACTCACAACAAGTCACTGTTAATGGATATCCCATGTGTGGCTGGCATTAGTTGGTGACCCTGGTTCCTTGTTCTCAATACAAGGCTGTTCTCCATCAGTATTCCTCATCAGTGACTTTATTCTGTAAGATGTTTTGCTGTGTTGCCACAAGCCTGTTACTCTTTACAGTTGATTCAGGTCAGAGTCAAGTGCAAAGTGCAAGAAGGAATTAAATCTAATGTGATATTAAAAACAAATCCTTTCATAGTTGTTCAGCAACTTCCAGTTAATAATTTCAACCTCGTCACTGATGTATTTTAACCTCTCAAGAAAATATTTTGGAACATCAGATTTATCCCCTAATGTGTGAGATTATGTGGTTATTAAATACATTTAGTGGTACATGTTTGTATGGGTTGCAGATGTGTGGAATTTATCAGTATCAACATTAGGTTATTCTTGATTTTAGAATTCAATTGACACGACAGCACAAAATAAAAAAGGCAAGAGGAGGAAAATATTAAAATCTATTGGTGAAGGGTTATGCGTATTTCCCACATTTCCAAGAATGAAGTATAGATAGAGTCTAATGGAAATGTGTTATACTAATACTAATAAAACTTGTGCAAGTTCACGTATGCGTACAGTGAAATTGTAATATACACTCCTATATTGTACATGATTATAATCAACCCCACAGCACCACTGCACGCTAATCTGGCCCCTATTGAAAAGAGGTCAGCAGTGCACTGAGTCAGGTTCGTGAACAAAAGAAAGTTACAAAACACCGCACAATCTGGGCTCTTTTTACAAGGCTGCAAGCCTGGCTAAAATACTCGGGCATCAATGAAGGTCACCTGTCAACTTAGAGTAGTGCCTAAAAATTACTTTGTTCAGCTATAAATGCCTGTTAAATGAAATGATGAATTTGTGAAGAATTTTGAAAACGGAAAAATGATAATTATGCCAACCCAGCATCATCAACATTGAAAAATGCCCCGGCATGAACTGGTTAAGGGTCTTCTCTGTCCCTCTCCGTCAAGTGGAGTGAAAATGTAGACATGCCCAGTTGGGTTTGGTCTCCCAGCTACCTTGTGAGGTTGGCCGTCCCACATGTCTTGTATTTTATTCCTGCCTCGTACGATTACGATTCTGAATGAAGACCTTGGCTCTAATGGGAAGGTCCTCATCTTGTGCTGTCTCATTGTGCCGTCTTTGCCCCCTGAGGGCCTCTCTCTTGGTAGTGCCTGAAACTCTTTCGAAGGTTTGCTTCATCCACCAATGGTGATTGGCCACCCATTGGTCAACCTCTGATTCGCCTCTCCCCTCTGCCTGGAACCCAAGTAGATGATCTACTGGTAATCTTGGATCTTGTCTAAAGAAGAGGTAGTAGGGTTACACTTAATGATGAATCGCAACAATGCAAACTCTGCTGCCCACCTTGTCGCAATCACACCTAGCTTGGAATTGGTCTAAAGATAACTCAAGGGTTGTTATCCGTATAGACAACAAAGTCTGCACCTAAGAGAATGTCTCAGAACTTCACCACTATAGCCCATCGTAGTGCCAACAACTCCAACTTCACACGGCTGTAGTTTTCCATATTCCGCTCACTCTCATGTTGCGTACCCAATAACAACTCGACGGTTGCATTGCTGTTGGAAGAGGACAGCCTTGAGAACAAGTTGGCTAGCATCTACCTCGAGGATGAATGGGACTTTGAAATCTGGATAACCTAGGAGGGGGGCTGATGTCAGGAGTGACTTCAGCTGGTTGAAGGAGGCATCACAAGCTTCATCCCAGACATACCGGAACCATTGGAGAAGCAGCTTTCTTGCCTTTCTTCCTCTTTGGATTACCACCAAGAAGGGCATGTAGAGGGGCTGCCACCTTTGCAAATCCTGGCACAAACCGCCGATAGTAACTTGTCAGGCCCAAGAAGCTCCCCAGTTCTGCCCTGTTCCTTTGCTTCTTCTATTCAGCTACGGCACTGATCTTCCCAGGGTCAGGAGGGATTTCATCTGCTGATATCTCATGTCCCAAATACTTCAACCTCTCAGCAAACCAGTGGCACTTCTTGGGCTTGACCTCCAGCCAAAACTCATGGAGACGACTGAGCACCATCTGAAGACATCGGAGAGTCTCATCAAATGACTGATCAAACACAAGAATGTCATCCAAGTAAACTATCAGTGACTGGAAATTCTTATCCTCAAAGGCTTTTTCCATGAGCTGCATAAATGTATCAGGGGCATTACATAGGCCAAAATGGCATACATGTGAACTCATACAGGCCGCCTGTGTCAATGTGGAATGTGGTCTTCTCTTTATCTCGCTCTTCTACTGGAATTTGGTAGAATCCGTGGGCAAGGTCGAGGCTGCAAAAATATTTGGCTCCACAGAGTGCATTAAGAGCCTTGTCTATGCGGGGAAGGCGGTATGCATCTTTGTGTGTCTCTTCATTCACTGCTCTGTAGTCAACAAAAAGCCTCAGCTTCCCATTGGACTTCCGAACAAGAACTACGGGTGATACATAGGGACTAGATGACTCTCGAATAATACCTTGGTCTAAGGATTTCTGGATGTGATCTCTCACTTCACCTCATAAATATGGTGGTATCCATCTGTATGGTATGGGAACTGGAAAGTCATCAGTGGTGATTATCCGATGTTCAACCTTGTTGCAGTAGCCAGTGTCTTCACCACCCCTGCTGAAGACCTCCGTGTGACAAGTGACAACTTGCTCCAGCTGTATTTGTTGAGCACCAGTGAGGTTGTCTCCAATGTTGATTCCAGCCAACTGCTTGGCAACATCTTCAGTGTTCGTCTGGTTCTTTGGTGTCATCTGCTTGAGCCTCCTGCAAGTGCACAGTGTAAGACTTGTCAATGCAATATTGGATCAGGCTGCTTTGTGTGGCGATAGAGGTCTTTGGGAGTATGTAAAGGTCATAATCAGTGAAATTTCCTAGCTGAACTGGAAATTTTCCGGTCTTGTCAACCCTGAAAAAAGGGGGGTAACCACCAGTCCTCTTGGGAGGTGCTTTGTGTGAACATCAAGCTCTTTTACCACTGCCGGTTAGGTACCACCACCAGCTGTGGGCATCACTGAACACTGCACGGCAAGTGGGACATCACTGGTACTAAAACTGGTTTAGGACTACATATACGAACATTTCCAGGTTTGTCTGGTTGAAACGAGGCACTCCTGACCTCCTCGTACAGGGCCAAGACATTGGCCCATTCCGCTCAACCAGCTCTTTCACTGAGGCTATGCAGGAATCCTGGTCCAACTGTCCTCTGTAATATGTCTCATCTCAGAAAATATTTGAGCCAATGACTCCTATCACCGCTCGCTTCCTTTTAGCAATCGTTGTGCCCACTGGGTCCTTCACGACCTGGAAACCCACTTTGTCAAAGATTTGCCCAAGTGCATGGAGAGGCAGCTTAATGTAGCCAAGATAGGGGATTGCAGCACCAAGGGCACCGGAGATGTGGAGCACAGCAGTGATGTCAACCATCTCTTGTTCGAAGAAGTTCTCTCTGAAGCAAGACTCACTCAGGGTAGATACCTGTGCCCTAGTGTCCTGTAGACAATTCACCTCAATACCACCAAGTTTCACTTGTGTGACTGGGCAGTCCCCTACCAGCTTCTTAATAATTGAGCCACTGTCTTGTAAAATCTGATGGCCTGTCGTTTGGCTCACAAAGTTAGGCCGCTCCAGTTTAACGGTTGCTGGGGTGTTTGACGCTCAGGGACAAACTATCGCAGGGTAGACTTCTGGGGGGCTGATGCTCATGGACAAACTGTTGAGCATTAGGGTTGAACACGCTCAGTTGGGTTAGTTGTGAAGGAGAACCATTGCCCCGTCTGAGGTGGGGGCAATTACGCTTGAGATGCCCTGTCAATTTGCAGTTGTAGCATTGTCTTGGCCCCTGGTCCCAATGATGGACTGGTTGTTGGGCCTCAGCCTTAAGAAAGGGGGTCTATCTGTTGCTGTTGCTTCTCCAGTACTGGCCCTGTTTCTTCAGAAGGGACCGCAAACTTCCAGCATCATCTGCTGCCTCAATATTCTATACTATTGCCTCCCTTGGGTGATTGTGACCAAGCCACTTGATAGCACGATCCCTGACATCAAAGAAGGACAGCGTTTGGGCCTCCATGTTAAGCCTCCGTAATTCTCACTGCAAGCCTTCATCATGAACAGCTTCTGTGAGTTGGCCGTTCAGTGTTTTCTCCCTGGTCGCCTTGCATGACTCGTCGAGCTTGGCCATCCGTGTGAACAGCTTTACCAGCCCCAGAGAGCAAGTGAGGAGGTCTTCTTGTGGGCCTCGTTGGTATGAAAAAACTTTCTGCTGGAGCTGGGGGAGTATATCGCCATCCCCTAACACTTTCAACAACACCATGATGATTTGTTCTGGTTTAGACGCAACCTCATTCCTCGGCCAAGTATCTCTTGGCAAGCTCTCCCGGCAAGGCGGTCAAGGATGAATGATGCGCGCTCTCCTCCATAGTCAGCTGTCTGGATGCCAGTTGTCCCCTGACGTCACCCACCCACTCCCGGATGGATGTAACTATAAATTGCTTCAAAGGCCCAAGCTTCAAGCTTTGCTTTTTTGTGGGTACCTCCATGGCTTTTCCCCCGTATTTATATAGCATTTGAAAATTGAGATTGTGTGTATGTATGAACAAATGAACAAATCACTTAGACAGGGGCATCAGTCTCAAATTAATTTACAAATTGTACAAGTCTTACATTTGCTCAAATGTTTCATAAAAACACGTATTAAACTCAAGAGCAATCCTCAAAGATAATTACAGCTGGAGAATTGTACATGTATATTTTAGGAGTTCTGATGTGTCGATATAGATAAAATTAATCTTCCACCATATTGAGTCATAAAAATTTAAGCAAAATCATAATCATTGGACCAGTGGTCCAGATCCCTTTGTTCAAGGCACATACTTATGTTAACAATGCATTATCAACCATCATTGTGAAGACTAATGAAGCAAAAGGGGATAAAATGCCCAGCCTATGTTCAATGAACTCAAAGCTGAGATATGCTTAGATATAATTGAAAAAGAAGGTAAAAGTACATACCACAACCACACAGCCTTCATGATCCGTGCCACCTCATTGTTACGAATCCCAAAAATCTAGGGAATGATCGCACAGAAATAAAACACACTATTGCCGATCAACAGTATAGCTGATTACTACGTGTACCAATTTTTGGCGAATGCATAGAAGTGCTCTTTGGATCACAAAGCTCGGAGCGGCTCTGCTCGAAAATTGTGCGACATGAAACAGGAAAATGACGATTGAAGGAAATTGGACATTTTGCACGCTGTCTCCGGGTTACAAGCCAAACAAGTTTCTTGAAATAGACTTTTTGGTATTACTTAATCTTACAAGAAACCTCCGGAGCATAGACAACTTGAAATATTGTCAGCTTACAAGAAATTTCCTGGATGTACAACAGGAATGTTCTGGACTAAATTGAGGTCATCCACTGTCGCCTGGGGTGACATTGGTCACACACAGAATCGTGTGTAATACCATTACATAATCTGGCACACGTACAGAAACTACATGCGTATACATACATGTACATAACACACTCTTTTTCTGAGGGGACGTCTGGGCTGACAATTCGTCACTTATCTCGAAAGCTGTTGGCCCAATCATTGCCAGAAAAACATCAACTTTGTCCTCACTGGCAGTTTTATTTGCTAGCCATATTTGCCGTCGACAGTTGTGCCATTGCTCCTTTTCTGCGTCAAAAGCTTCAATGGTTCCAATCAACCCTTGACCACGTAGTTCTGTTGTTGGATTTCTGTTTACTCGCGGCAGTACAGTTTGACTGTCACCCAAACCCTTCTATCATGTTTAGTTAATAATTCGTTAACTTTTGATATCACTCCCACCACCCTCAGTGTCTTGCCCCCCCATGCACCGCTGGTCCAACGCTGGCTGCTGCTGCCTTCTTGGACTGCTTACTTGCAGCGGTGTGTACCGCTGTGTCAGAAAACTGCGCTGGCTGTTGGCTTGTCTGACACAAACTTCCATAATTCCTGTTGCAAAATTTGAGGGAAGTATACAAAATAGGCAATGACATATTTTTTGCAAGGACAGCTCCTCTACCTATGTACTTGGTTGATTGCTGTGACCAGTGCATGCTTCAAGCATGCTTGAAGTAACCAAAGGCTTCCACATACCAAGCTTGGCTATTCTAGATTGATGATGATGCGTTTGTAGGCTCCCCTGCTTGGTCTGGCCTTCCCCACAGAATTCTAGACATAGTGCCTTTGATGACCTGCGCCCATTACTCATCCAGTGCAACAGACAAAATAGCCTGAGTATAGAACCTTTTACTATTAAAGGGTCAAAGCAGCTAATACCAGCCTGACATTTAGACAGTGCTACAGTATGTTGAGAATTTTTTCAGCAAATCTGATTTGTGTCACATGGGAGGGTGTATGAAGTGGCATAGAATAACCCTATCATTATTAGGTCACCTGTCTGTGTTCTTTTGTTGGTCATCGATTCTTATACCCAATTATTCCTCAATTGGGTTCTCTATCCTATCTTCATCAGGCTTTAAATTTCCCTCTCAATAATGTTTTTTTCAGGTTTTAATCCCGTTTTCCGCGTGTTGGATGTTGTGACTGGGAAGTCAAGTCTCTTTACTGATCAGTACATTTTGAGAGTGATTGGTGGCAGCACTGAGGGTGCAGACAATATTGAATACTTCAGCAGTGAAAAACTTCAACAGTATAACATGCAAAATGGGTGAGTCAGTTCAAACTATGTATTTGAATATGAATTTGTACTTTTAGAATTTTTAAGAAGCACGTTAAAAGTCAAATTAGATTTTGTAATTGTTTCGTGCACAATCTACTTTGTAGCATCTATTGTGAACTGACAATCTCATGCCCTATCCCTGCTCTTCCATTTACCAATAATGCTGTGTACTGAATGCTTCTATTGCAGGTCAGGTCCGTTAATTTGGACACCTGAGGATACCAACAACTATAGTAATGGATCAGTGCCAATTTTCCAACATGGGCATAGTGGAATTGTGTGGCGTTGTGAGCAGGGGACACCCTGTGCCAGTGTGCCCATGCACTTCCCTTGGTCACCAGAATATTACTTTGTCATGGAGGTCACAAACAGGTAATGTGGATAGCATGTCAGAAACAGTTTCCAAATATAGACAGACTGAAAAACAAGAGATTGACATAGACAAAAGAATTTTGAACTTTTTAGTTGTAGTAATGGAAACATCATGCTTGTATCATTAATGCACTCAGTTGATTCCCAGACATACCTCTTGTATAAAGACTTAATAATCGATGGCATCTATTGTACTCACCATTAAACAATTGGTTGGCACTCTCTAGGAGAAATTTATTGTGTAGTAATGCTCTACAGATTCACGTAAGTACTTTGAAGTAGAAATGACCTGCACTTTTATGGGGGGAGACGTTAATTCCTTGGAGAGAAATATTTCTTCAATGAGGTCATGATGACTTTTTGCAGTTGTGCACTCGATTTTGTGCACATCATTATGTGATTTTCTGTACCTACCTTGATGAGTAAACAGGCCGAACGCTGTACACACAAATGTTAAGAGTGCCCTAGGAATGTTCTGGATAAAACCCTTGGAATCAGGGAGGGACTGAAATGCAATTTACATGTGGACCAAGCCGAGATTCAAACTTGGACTGCAGAGGTAGAAGGCAAGGAAAAAACCACTAGCTACACCAGCCTTACATCCTCATGCAACATCCCTGTATCTTCAACAATTTACTGTAAATACACAGAATCACACAGATTATATTGTACATGTACAGAGATATACAATGTGTGCATTTAAAGGTTTTTGTCAATATTTTGTCATACTGATTCACATAGAACTGCCATTGTACTTATGTACATGGACACGCCTCCACCCATCAAGGCTCCTGCCATCCACCGCAGCCCAATGTCAAATACCCAAGAGAAATTAATTAGACCATCCAGATCCCTTCTGGACTCAGCCCAAGGCATGGACCGTGAACTGGATCTACCACAGTCAGCACAACTCATCAGTTCTTCTGCTGATGAGATTGATTCTCTTGGCAGACTTACCCTTATGAGAGCCGGCTCCGTCTTCTCCAACATGTTTTGAGTCGTCTGATCATCCTGCCCTCCTGAAGAAGACACCTCACATACATCATTCAAATGCCATGCAGCCAGGCTTGAAGTTTCTCACCTGGTTTTTTGAAAATGCCCACTAGATTGTTCATGTGTCAAGATGTTTAAGACTATAGCCAAATCCAAATGTTGCCAACTATTCCCTCCTAGAGCCCAGTCCTACTTTCATTTTCCCCAAGGTGATTTTTTTAGGAATTCTTATCAGTCCAGGAGCTATCAGATGCCGCCAAAGATTAAGATCACATCAGACAGGGGCAGACTCCCTGGCAAGACTCCCTTCCTCAAGAACAGAAAAAGAGTCTACACTCATAAAACTGGACAGAGATCCCACCATGGTCTCCAATGGTCTGCCTTCCTACTCCTTCTCTTGGAATACCTGGCCCACAACGGCAAAGAGAACTCACCAGTCTCTCCTGATCTCACCACAGAAGCGCTCCAGTTGCTGAACACTGCCTTGATGCTACCTTCAAACAATTCTCATGGATTTCTTCTCTGGCGACAGCCTCCTGCAGAGTGAATACTCTGGAAGCAATGGGCATTCCTTATGAGGGCGTCAAGTCTAGACCTCAAGACCTCCCACTCTATGCTGAAGACATCTTCACCAGCCAATTCATGAAAAACCTTAAAATAGAAGTGAAACGGGTCAACACCACCCACAAGTTGAATTTCCAACAGTCGCTTCCTCCAATTAAACACTCAACAATCTACAAGTCATAGACGCTGACATTTCAAACCTCCTTCAAAGCCTAATGCCAGCCCCTCTCGGTCCTTTCGTCCTCCATTGCCCCAAACAAGCCAACGCCAGACCTCCTGCCATTTGGCTACTACACAACACGCACAGGCCAAGGAAATGTCTTGTGCAAACCTGTCCCTAGGGGACAGCACTGGTGAATATAATGATTCACTCACAGCCTGCCATTCCGAACCTGTCGTTTGCCGTTTTTAGTCTTTTGCAGAGTTCTGGCTTGACATCACATTGGACAGATTGTACTTACCACTGTTTCTATCAAGTACTCCCTAGAATTCATGGGTATCCCTCCTTCCAAATCGATACTTCTTCTGACTCCAGTCCCCCATAACAAGGACAAGCAACAAGTGCAGGAGTGCAATATAAATGCTCTCTTATGCAAACAAGCAATCTAACATGTCCCACCCAACCTAAGGACCGATGGTTTTCAGTCAACCTTCTTTCTCACCCCTAAGAAGGAACCAGGCAAGTGGCAACAGATCACCAACCTCAAGCCACTCAACAATTCCTTATGGGGATGCTGAGCTAGGTAACACAATCTGTCCCCAGCGCATCAATCAATTTGAAGGATGCGTACTTTCACATCTGTAACTCATCTCATTGTTGACTTCTTCAGCAAGCTGCCTGAGGGCACTTTTCATGTTTCATGTTACTTCATCATGCCGTTTGGCATCCGTGCTGGTTTTTTGGAATACAATTCACATGCTGTAACCTCAGTCCATTTGCACCCATTTATTTCAGGGCAGTTCCACGGTGTCAGACGTACATTTTGGACACTTCAACAGTGTGTGTTATTATACTTATAATCCTGAAGCAGATTTTGATTTTGATAAAAGACATCAGCTAGTTGGTACCTTCATTTAATAAGAAAATTTCTTTCTCAGAATTATTATCCTTGTAGAAGCTGAATCATAACACCATGGTGTCGGACGTACTCAGAGAAAGTTAAATTTTTGAGTTTTTATTTTTGTATCACAAACTGTGAAATGCTCGGACCTGAAGAAGTAGTTTTCCTGTGTTTAGTTTTAGCAGACCCTTGTTAATAAACTTCAAGGCAAGACACATTTTTATCTTCTTGTGACTTTCAGATAAAGCATTTATTATATTTGTGTCGGACGTACATTTTTTGGTGTCGGACGTACATGTCCAAAATGACTTTTCAGAATAGAAGGTAATCAGTTCAAACCCAAGCTTGTCTCATTTTTCTACCTTCATGAAGGCTTGAGTACATTTTCCAAACCAAAAGAAAATGTCAAGCCATACAAAAATCATCAAAAACAACTAGAAAGGAATTGGATGATGGGGCACTCCATAAAACAGTATGAAGGAAAATATTGTCTAGAAGTATTTATGCAAATTTTGCTCACTTAAACAAGTCATTTGCTGTCAAACATTCAAACTAAAGAAAAAGTTTTCTACAGTTGACAATCATTTAGATAAATAAATCAAATTAAAAGACAATTGTATACATGTACCTGTAAGATCTTTTGGTCTTAGAACATGAAATCAAACATTTCTGTATGACAAATGCTGCGTGTGTACTAAGCTGCAATTGTAAAGATTTCCAGTTCACACTTCACAGGTTCTAGTTCACATGTAAAATCCAAAAAGAAGGTAAATGATATACCCTTTTAGATGATTGCAAAATCATAGGAATGGGCTAGCAGTTAGCCTGAGAAATTATCCTTTTCACTGAAATTTAAGACTAATGGCATAATGCTTTTAAAACTACAGTCTTCCATTGTACATGTATGTTTCATGATAGATACTGTGCATGTATATGCCATGGAAAGCACATACAAGTGGAACACCCCCTTTAATTCCTCAAGCAACACAAAGTGAAACCAATTGATTTTACATGTACCTTGAACAAAGGTATAAAAACACATCTTTGTTAGTCTTTGACAATTCTTCTTTCTTGACATGGATTACATGTACATGTATAAAACACTTAAAACTTTACTTGTCTTCATCAAAGCTCACACTGACATGACTTACTTCTGAATACATGCAAAGCACATGTTTGTCCACACATGACACATGTGGAATGGTTTTGAGCCCTAATTAGGACCTTATTAGGGTGTGTATGTCCAAATAGTCAAATTTATGCAAATTAGTAAAAAACAAAAGCGAAGCCTATTTGGTACTTTTACAAAAGGTTGGGGCCTTATTTCCATGTATGCAAATGAGGTGGTAGTGGTTTCTGTACAGTGTAAAAGCATTGCATTGCCAGCAATGCATGGTTCTGACAGTGTCGGACGTACAGGGTGTCGGACGTACATATCTGATTCCTAAATTTTTGAGTATTTGCAAAGATAATTGGGGGAGCTGATGTCTAGAACGAAGGAACTCATTGTGTTTTGTATTGTAAATTTGGCAATCTTTTGCTAAAGGGTGCACTGAGGGGATGAAAAAATATGTCATTTTGGTGTCGGACGTACGTAAGAAAAGTAAGTGTTATAAAATAAGACATTACATAGAATTTCAAAATGAAAATGAAAATTCATTTCTGTCATTGTTTACTTATTGGGGCATTCTTCAAACTGTAACAAAACTGGAACAAAAAAATTATTATCAGGCTAAAAAACAGAAAATCTTTTACAGGGGAAATATTTTCCCCAATTTCTTAGTATTTAAAACCAATTTTACAGTGTCTTATAAAAGCCAAATTCTTGAATGTTGTTAGAAATGAAGTGTGTTTCACGAAAGTATACACCATAAGCTTAAAAATGATAAATTATTTGTCACATTTGGACCAGTTCGAAATTTTGGCCCAGAGGTTGATGTTTCCGTGGAACTGCCCTTCACTAACACAAACATTTATTGACAATGAGGATGGCTCACATTCAACTCCCTAGACCCCAACCATTTCTTCCAATGCCTGGGGACCCAGCCATCCTGTGGACTTGTTGGCAAAATTGCTTGAAAATGTACATCACCGTGAGTGGTTTGGACAGTGACACCGTGACATTGGCTCATTGCAAAGCGATTCTGTTGCACTGTCTTCATTTATTTTTATTTTATTTATTTTATATCTTTAGACACATAAATAATAAATAAGGGGCAGTCAAGGTCAAACAAAAGTCTAAAAACTGTCATCAAGAGACTTGTTTGACCATACCCCTGTACAAATAACAACAGCTAGGAATAAATCACAGAGATATCACTTTTCCAGTTTTATCTTGATTGCCCTGCTTTTTTTTAAACAGACCCCCAAAATTCGGTTTTTCCTTTTTCTCCCATCTGGCTCAAAAGAAAAGGCCCGAAAGGAAAACATGAATAGGAATGTGGTGATTTCACCTCTATGAATCCCAGTTCAATGACAGTTTCGCAGGGCATGCACGTGTACAGCTCTTTCCCTGTAGTAGCCTTAGAAACAAGGCTTCCTTGGTCTGTATGATTGTTGAAGTGACCAGAGATCCAGCAGTGCCACACTTACCAAGTACTGCGCTGCACAGTGAACTGTCTGAACACTATCTGAATATGTGGTATTTCCTCCCCAAAAGATGCACCTACAAAATATGAAATGAAGACACACAAATAAAGTCTATAAACTCTTATTTTCACCTCACCTTCCTAACATGAGGGCAAATACAGACAAAGTAGACACACGAACTCTACCATTGCTATTTGAGTAAATCATTCATAATGGTCATGAATGGGACACTAATAAGTATCCAATAAAAGTGAGGATTGCCCATTTTTTGATCATTCAAAGCATTTTGGGACATTTTTCAACTGGTCGTTGCTGAGTGTGTTCAGCTTACATACCATGCTCTGAACTCATTTTTTTAGTTATCTGGGAAAATTAGTACTGACTGTTTTCAATTCAGCATCAGTTAACAATTGCAAGTAAGGAAGAACTTTCCAATAAATATATGCCTGCCATTGAGAGACTAACAGAGGACAGCATATAAGGCAAGTTAAGGTACCAAGACACAAACCAAACTCAAAAGGATTTCAAAAAAGTTTATGCATTGAAGAAGAGTACAAAGATGCACAAAAAGTGACTGTAAGAAAAATTTGTTTCATGGATCACATTAAAAGTTGTTAATTCCCTTCTGGCCAGAGATTCAGAAATTCAGTGTTCGCAACCATTGCACATATCACATATATTTGGTCAAGTAGATTGAGACTTTGGTGAATACTTTATTAATATGCAAAATAATATAGGCCATGACAGTATCAACAATGTGTATTTATTCAACTCATCAAACTCCTTGGGTTTGCTTCTCTAATTTTCTGTAGACAGGTGAGCATGTACTCAACATACTGTGAATACACAGCACAGGTCACAATCAAGGTCCATGGACTGGAACTCAGCAAATATGATCTAATGGCTATTGTTGGGGTAAGTTAGAAAATTGGATTTCTGAGATGAAAACCATCAGTAAAGTAAATCATCACATGCATTCATTGGGATTTAAATTTGTGCAGCGGGTAGCAGTAGTATCAAGAGATAATGTATGGCATCAACTACCTGTTGGGGTATATATTTGTACTTTCTCATAAACTTGAAAGCATAAAAAACACGCATCTTGGGCTTGGCCATACATTTATGGCCGGGGTGATCGAATTCAGAAAATACATTAACAATAGATCGGGCTGCTGTGATCAACAATCAAGCTTCATATGCTGTCAGCGCATAGTGACTGCCATTAGCGGAGGTAAACTGTCATCATTTTGAAACGCTACCATTGTTTGCTGCTGCCAGAGCCTGCAGATAATCAGCAGGGACAAAATCGCTTCAGCACTCCAGCGATGAGCGATACAATACCTCTGAACACTCATAGAATCTGGCGGCAAATAGTAAAGACAACACCACCGTCCAGCAACGCATTGGTCCAATTTCTGGAACAAAGAGGATATTATGCAACACTACACAATGGGGGCTCTTTACTGGGCGGCAGGCATGGCTGCAACACTAACACGTCAATGGAGGTTGCCTGTCAAATTAGACTTGCCACAAGACAGTCATTCGTTTGGGTGTATGCGTCCAGTAAATGAAAAAATGAATTTTTGAAGAGTTTTGAAACTGAAAATCATGAAAATTTGCCCAGCAGTGGGTCATGCATGCCGCTTATAACTTCACCCGGCATTATCAAAGTGGTGAATAAAATTTGAAGAGAGATACGCACAAGGCATCCTTTTTAAAAACACTTACGGTGTCTGTCCTGTAAATGGTGGAAATTTATGATTTTTCTTTTTGCATCAATTTAATTGCCCACAGAAAATGATCTTCAAAGATGTACTTTGTGTTGAGGAGATGAATATGTATCAGTGTAAGGGAAAAACCCATCACAGAAAATAATTGCCAACTGTTGGCCTCAGAAATGACCGTTTAAAATTTGGTCTCAAATGATATCTCAAAATTCACACTCGGTACCTTTCTCTGTTTTAGTTCTCTTGCCATCTATTAGAGAAATGTTACTGATTTACTATGTTACAAAGAAAAAAGTCACAATTTGGAGGTTATATTTCTTAAAAGATGTAAAAAGTTCTGCCAATTAAAAGTGTAACATAGATGGTAATGGGTATGCCAGCATGATGAAATATGTAATTGTTTCTTTACTCTTATGGGAACTTAATTTTTCAAAGTTGATGATATGCTACAAAGTCCACTTCTGGGAATCCATTGCCCGTTAAACCTAACATTTGCTTATTCCTCTAGCCCACAGCTTTGATTTGATAGTTTTTTATACCACGGTAAATAGATCCCTCAGTACCCAAGCCCTTGCACTTGCATTATAATAATAATATTGTCATTTCTATTGTGCCAAATCCATAAAATGTTTCCAATCCACATTACAACTAATTACATTAAAATTAAACCATAACTTAAATTAAAAATTATAATGCTATACAATTATGAATTAAGATGATACAATATACGATCACAATTTAGTGGACGAAGTAGGGAAATTCAAAACATTAAACATTAAAAATAAACTAAACCAGATACACAATTATGCATAAAATGCCTGCTTAAATAAAAAATGTTCACTTCCTGTTTAAATTCAAATAGTGTTTACTCACATCTAATACTAGGTACGTAGGAAAATGATTCTACCAAAAATAAAATCTCTCTAAAATTTCCATTTTTCCACTGTGATCTGATAAACATTATCACACCCTGCTACAAATACTCTTCACTCTGAGAATGCAAATTACACAACTTGTTTAGGGGGGCCTCCCGTCCCCCACTGGCCCCTGCAACCCCTCCGGTTCCTATGTGCCTGAATGTGATTGGGTAATTGGTTCCAAAGCCGCGAGGACCAGCCACGGCAAATGCCCTTTCACCAAAGTTATTAGAGGTTTTGCAAGATGGAACCTGTAACTTCAGCTGATTTGATGTTCTAAGAGAATATTAGGACTCACAAAACTGAACAAGACTACGACTGTATGATGTTGATGCATTTAAAAACAAACAGAATGTCACCCAGATCCCGCAGAAAGAGAGTTTAGAGTTGCTGCACACAATCGAAAGGAAAAACCAGGGCTAGTCAGTATCGGTTCTTCAAAGATATTATTGTAACATAATAAAAAGTGAGACTATTTACAGTATTTACAAATAAATGAAATTAAAGATCAGCAACTTAACTTGATGTAATTCAACAAATCTTGCAAATCAAAGAGCACAATTAAGCTCAAACTTAAACAGAAATGTAAACCAAATCAACTTAAGGGCTTAAAGACACTTGCAAAGTTAATAAAAAACTATCGGAAGCAAATCAATATCTCACAGAAAACTCACTCCGATCAATTCAAAATAACTCAAACGACAAACAGGTTTCTGAGTTATTACTTCAATCATGTTAAACAACAAGGAAAATCAATATCAAATCAAAATCCATACTCAAAATAACAGAATAATGGCGAGTGGATACAGGAAACTGGAGAGGTGTGCCAATACGACCTTCGGTCGAGAGCCCCAGGCCTGTATCTTGAAATGTACTCAAGGACCAACTTGGCAACTCAGCTCAAATTGGCTCACTACTATTGCAGGTCTGTACCCTCCAAACAGGTCATGTTGGGAACACAACTTGCAAAAAGACTTGGCTTAGAATAAACATCAAATAGTGTCCAAAATACAATATGTCAATAAATGCATGTCATATAAGGGCAGTCAGTTATGAATTTGATAATGACTAGGATAATGAACAAAATCTTAAAAGATTGAACTTACGGTAATTCCAACAAGGTTTTTTTTCGGCTCAAGCTTCAGGCGTAGCTGCTGTGAGGACTGGCCAGAGATATTATCACAGGGAAAAAATAACTTGTGGTATGATATAAGTTGGGTATCTCTCACGTCTACCCTCTTACTTGTAACCTGTGGTGGCAGATTTCACACGCCTGTTGGCTACAGTGGTAACATAACCCTACCCAATGCTCCTTGATCTATCTCTGTACCCTCTGCACCTTGTCATACATAGTCTCAGAGTTTCAAAACACCAACTGCCTAAAAAAATGATCCAGGGAGTTTTTCTGGTTCAATGTAATGCTCGACTACCTTACAAAAGAAACATCTAAAAGGAACTACCATGACCAAACAATAAACAAAAACCTGTTTCAGGAATGTGTTATGCAATAGCCAGCTGGGCAGTTTGAAGTACCCAGGGGAAGACTTGGCAGGAATATAAAAACATCAAGAACAAAACAAACTTAGTACCGTTACACAGAAGAATCTTCAACCAGATGCGATTGATATTTAACCAGCAACCAATGTAAATTTTTTGACAATTGGGGTAATGTGACAATGTTTGCATTCTGTACTCTGAACTGTCATTAGTTTTGCACCGAGTTACAGTGTACAACAGACTGTTACAATATATCGATACGACTTGTCAGAAGTGAATGAACCAACATATGAGTGTCCCAGCAAGCAAGATATTTCCAAATACAAAGAATGTTATACACCTGATAAAAGCAAGCATTACAAGTACTATGTACATTCATCTTAAAATTTTAATCGAACCAAAAGCCAAGATTCTTTACACAATACACAGGAGTGATGCGATAATTGCTGACGATTATGTGATCAATCTTGAACTTGGATAATTGTTGCTTCGTACCAATGACCAAAAAGTCAGTCTTTGCATCGTTAATCATCAATTTATCTTTTTAACATCCGGTAACGAACCGCATGTACACAACCACTTATATATGCCTTTAAAGCTGTAGCCTGGTCTGTAGCTGATTGAGGCCTTAATGCTACATACATCTGAGTATCATCAGTGTATGAATGGACTTCTGGTAGGTATGGTTCTATGATTTCAAACAACTTACAAATAATGAAGGTCCAAGACATAAGCCTTGAGGAACACCATTCCGCGAGTTGAAAGTATCAGAGAGCACTCTGTTCACCGATATTTGTTGAGACCTTCCTGATAAATTAGACTGAAATCGACTGAAATCTTGAGCAAGACAAGATTTAGCATGCTATTCTCATAGCATTCGCATGTGTAACTTGGAAAAAAGACACACAATGGGGGAACTCGCGAAAACCAACATGAACCAGGGATCAAAAGGAAGAGTCGCAGGATATTCTCAAAAAAAGAAATGACAAAGGAAGATCAAATTTGATTTCAACAAGCAAAGAACAATAAAAAAATATTTATTTCAATGTGAACAGAGCAAAAATCCAAAACAAACCTCTCGATCAGGACCAGTAATTTTAGCTGTGTTTCTTAAATGTATAGACCAGGAAATATACTCAACTCGTAACCAATTAACTTAAACCAACAATACTGCTTAAACTAAGACAAACGTCAACCAGTACCAACACAGACTTAAATTATTAACCAACACAGACTTAAAATATTGACCAACACCGACTTAAATTATTGACCAACACAGCACTAGTTAAATAGTCGCAAAATTAAAGCAATCAAGCAAGAAACCAAGTTCACAGCAGACCAAAGCTGAAGGCAGAAGTTGCTTAGTAAAAAAAAAAAGAGAGCGGTTAATGTGGATGCTGTGGTCTCTCTTGCTGCCGGTCCGCATCTGATTATATCTAAGGAACTCACATGCATCAGGTCTTGTGCAATAGGCCATGACAGGATATTTACTCTGGGGATTATTTTGGAAAGGGGGGGGAACCACTCCTAGCAAATTCAGGGCAAGCTAACAAGAAATTCAATGTTAAAAGCAGGGGGACAACTCCTATACACAAGCAGGTAAAGCAAAAACAACTAAGTGAAAAGAGTCCCCTCTACATCTGCTATGAAAAAAGCATTCACAAATGCAGTCAACCTACATGTATATTGTAGCTACTAAAAGTACCTTTGCAAGCTTGGCTTAGAAGTCTAGTACTTCCACCATTGATCATGAGAGTTTCGAGTCTTGAGTTCAAGTTTGGTGTTGGAAATTAAAACTAGAGTACAAAATGTAACTCAACATTTGTACTCCTTTTTTGAGATTGGGATTTATCAGTCATATAAACTAATCTAAGCCTATCCCAAATTTGAAAAAAGACTAAAGAGTACAAATGACCAGAAGGTCATGGTTACAGGGACACATACATGTATGTCTATTTGTTTGACATGACCCAACAATTCAATTACCTTTTTGGGTCATGATTGCAAAGGACAGCCTACATACATACATGTACATGTAAATCTGAAACTTGAAAAAAATTAAAGGAACCTACCCACTATGCCAGTTGCTGGGGACCAGTACTAATTAACGCTTTAATTGCATATAAAGATACATGTACTACTTCTAAACTGACATACTCTTGAATATATCAGCTGACTTCTGGTGGGGAAATAGTGAGATCTTTGCAGTAACTGAAGTCTATAGGGATAAAAAGTCATACGACTGTAAGTCTCTTAGACTAGATGCTCATTTCACATGCAAACTTACTAGATTCTTTCTAGGATTCTGCAGTGAAACAATCTTGCAAACCTGCCATCTACCAACGTGTCGTCCTTGCTTCATGGTGTAACTGCCAACTACCTGAATTCAAATTTCCCACCAACGTACACACAAGTCTTGATCTGCAAGATCAGCAGTTGGTGCAGCTAGAGTCCATGCTGTGAGGCAGTTGAGTGTCCACTGCCTTGAGTCTGGGTAGCATATTCCTAATTATGGGATTTCTTCTGACTTTAATATAAACAAAGCTGTTCTTGAATGCTATGATGGCTTGTGAATGCTATCACTGGAGTGAATGCTATGATGGCGTGTGAATGCTATCACTGGAGTGAATGCTATGCTTGTGAATGCTATCACTGGAGTGAATGCTATGCTTGTGAATGCTATCAGGAATGCTATTTGGACTGTTGACCATAGCAGTCCATGATTTATTCAATCCTTTGCATGCTATGTGATTGCTATAATAGCAGTTACATGTTGTTGGAATGCCATTGCAATGCTATCGAACTGCTATAATAGCAGTTACATGCTGTTGGAATGCCACTGCAATGCTATCGAACTGCTATAATAGCAGTCCAGTTGAAGGACAATAAACCAAGCAACCATCAGAACAGCTTGTGTCGAGCACACAATATTACAATGTTGAGCAGGTTTGTTGTGGTGGAACCATGCACCATGTGGAAGCACTGCATTGCAGCTGCTGAAGCAGGCCATCTTGTCACCTTTGACAACGCAGATACCTTTGAAAGGCACACAATGGATTAAGTATGTATTTTACTGACATCCAATTTCAATCTAAATGTTTCTGTTCCTTACCTCTACATAGAAGCTGAATTCACCCTTTGAAAATGAGTCTAAGCACTTGGTACACTGGTTGTAGGACACTGCAGGTATCCACAAATGTTTTTCCACTCTCAAAGATAGCAAGATACTACTTTTTTTTTACAATAATTGATAATTTTCATTCACTGCAGGATTTTTCCTGTGTGAATTTCAGTGGAAAAAATAAACGAAACTTTGAGTTATAAATTTTCTGATAAGAATAAACTTGTACAGAACTCACGTGAAATTTACATTCACATAGATTTGAAATATATCAGAGGATCCAAATGTCATTCACTTTTTATTAAATGTTCTTTTCAGCAAGGAAATATCACCAATTCATATATAGTACTTGACCAATTTTATCACGATGACATTTTAGAGATAATATGATACAAAAATTAAACAATTTGTCTGCCCCATAGTATATTATTTATTGTGGCTTAAAAAAAATACAATACAGAGCAAGACCATGCACAATGCAGAAAAACCATTAAATGCCTAGTACTGACGATGCTGTATGATTATTTGAAGATATCCACACCCTAATAGCATTGAAATAGTCATTTTTCAATGAATTCCATCCAACTTTTGGACCTTATGTTAACAGAGGAAAATGGATTATTGTGGGGTTTTTATTGGGGGTTTTTGGGAGGGGGGAAGGAAGAGGTTTTGCATCAACCACCCCCACAAGGTTACAAACCTACATGTACCCTGTTATGATTTAGTGTGATTAAATAAGTGTCATACTTGAAGAAGAAAATCAACAGTCCCTTCAATAATTTGGTCAAATTTAAAAATATTTAAACTGCTGGCATTTGCTTTCTGGACACACAAGTCTTACATTACAAATAATTTTCTGCCTTGGAGAGGTCTCCCTAAACCATGTTGGATGTTGCCAAGTTTTGGATGGAGCTTTTATTCATAGGTAATGGAACAAAGCTAATCTAGGGACATAGGGAAACCACACACTTTAGGATAAATGGGACATCTGATGCAGGCTCTTTTACCCTCCACTGTTGCAGTCATCAAGTCCACTATGGCCAAGTCTGAGTTCTTCTAGTTTAACTCCTAGTCCACATCTTGGAAAGAGTCCAAGTTCTTTATATATATAACGGTTTTTGCCCTTACCCAACATATATTAATAAGCACTGTATGCTCAGTGCTTGTCCGAGAACTTGCGAAAAAAACCTCACTAGCTTACT